GCTGTGGTTGACAATCTTGACGTGGTTGGCGTGCAACTTCCAGTACCCGACGCCTATAAGAGGCTAAGAACTACGTATATAGATAGACGCAGTACGCACACGAGTTTGTCGTCCCGAGGTCGATGCCAATGCACACCGTGCCATTGCGGAACTCGTGGGCGTTGGCGCCCCAGCTCTCGTACGTTGCGTAGCTGCTGGACATGGTGCTGATATTGAGTTTAGCGGGTAACAGAACCACCCATACGTGTATTGGATGTGAGAGGTAGTCGTGCTGGCGCAGTGTTGGAGCCCAACTGCGTCGCCAAGAGGCTGGCGCACGCAGTGATTGCATTCGTGGCCGTGAGCGAGACATTGAGGCGGTCGGATTCGATGGCGCTCACGTCGATGTTGGCCATGAGGCCTACCAGCTGAACCAAGTTGAGGTTTCCAAGGTTCTGCCAGGCAGCGCCGAAGGTTTCTTGGGGCGTCATCACTACTAGCGCAACTGGATCGGTTCGGGCACCAGCATGGGCTGGCGTCTCAGCCTCGGCAAGCCAAGTTGAAGGATGAGCTACCTCCCATTGGGGTGACCGGACGGCGACAATCGTGACGTTGGTGCACGTGGAGAGGAGAGCAATCTTAGCGTGAAGGATCGTGTCCGAGAGTGGGACGCTGTCTTCGACCGATTTCCTGTCAAGAGAAAAATGGCCATCGTGACCTGAAAACTGTTTGTATGGTTTCTCAAATATCTACTGGGCTGCCTTGCATTTAACTTTGCATCTTCTGTCGCCATTGCAGACCACGCGAAGGCGAGCTAGATCTAAGGCGAGCTATATTGCGATTAAAATGGACCTGCAACGTCCACAATGCCGACAAAAAGGTGCCGTTCCTTGCTTGGCGAGGATTCGTCAACCCCACTTGTCACCAAAATGGGGCGGTGCACTATGTACAAGGCACCATGTTGCTCGAAGTGAGGGAGTGATCTCGTCCTTGAGCAGTTCTCTGACGCACACGAAAGAGAATTGGGGAATGATTCTGAGACAAGTCCCACGATATCGTTGAAAATGGACTTGCAACGTCCATCAACGATTCGAAAATCCACGATTTTTGCCTCCAACTACAAGAGTGCAACCGTCTACTACCGCGTGTATAACAGTACGATTCTCAGTCGAGTGCAACGCGAACCGATTTCGAGCAATATTTCGCGTAGCTAGGGCAGCAGGTCGCTGCGAAAGCCGAGCAGCAGCGGCGATGTGGTCTCGGCCAAGTAGACTTCTAGTGCCAGACCCGTCTCAATCGGCGACGCTCGCGCCTGCAAATGCAGCTCCACGACGTGGTTGGCATCGCCCATGCGGTTCTCTTCGAGCCTAAAAACCATCCATATACAACCATAGCAAATCCCACCACACAACTTACAGCTGAGCGACAACGTAGTCGAGCGCTGGCGAAGGTGACGACGACGACGCGACAAACTCGCAGTACGACGGCGCAATCTCTGATTGACCAAGGACGTCGCGGGTGCATTGGCGCTCGACAATGCGGTCGGCGACCCACGAGAGGCAGCGTCGATGGCCGGCCTCGAGACGGTCCAGCGGCAGTCGAAAGAGCACGCGGAGGAGCGCTACGAGGTAGCTGGCATCGCGCGCCACGAGCATTTCGAGCATCGCCAACCGCGCTTGCTGCTGCGGCACGGTAAGCGCGCACTCGACGGCCACGTCGTGAATTGACAGTGGCAGTTGCATGTACGTCAGCCCGTCGAGCGCATCGACGAGACCTCGAAGGTCGAGACGCTCCAAGAACGGGCACTGCTGCAGACTCAAAACGATGCTCGATAGCACGTGCTGAACGCGCGGTACGTCGGCGTCGTCCAAGTGCGAGGCTGTCGCCAGTTGCTGCAGCGGCCAGAGCAGCACGCGGTTGTAGAGCGCCACCATGTCCTACGTACACGATGAGCGCATACATCACTAACGAAGAGGGAACCATGGACGACGCCTGAAGAACCGGAAGACGGCTGAGGGGTCGGAGCAGCTGGAAGAGCGACGGAAACATCTCGAGCGCCGTCATTTGTGATAAAATGCGCTGCCAGAGCGATGCGTCGTGGATCGTATACGCGAGCATGAGCGTCGCGAGAAGGTCGACGACGTCGCGCTTCGTGTGGTGTTCGCGCCAGAGTCCGCGCACGAGCGCCGCCTTGTCGCACTGCACAAAGTGGCCAAACGCTTGGGGAAACTGCAGCGCCTCAAAGCGCGCCAAGTGACAACAGTGCTACGTTCCACAACCTCAAATCAAAATAATGACGCTTTCAGGTTGCAGTACCTGGCGCATTGCGAGCAGCTCTGCGTGCGTCACGCCAGATAGGACGCTCTCGACACTGGCATCGAGCGTCCGAAGGAGCTGCACGAGCAGCTGCAGCGCACGGTGCTTGGCGCGGTACGTGACGCCAGACCGCGGCGCCGGATTCGACGCATACGCCCATAATGCCGCGCCCGTTGCGGCCAGCGGCTCGTCGGCGCATGCGTAGACGAGGCGGTCGACAAGTGCCGTCTCGTTGGGGTCATCGCCAGCGCTAAACGCAGCCCAGAGACCAGGCGCGTCGTTGGAAGGAGGTGCGCACTGCTGTAGACGCCGGAGCATCCAGTCCTTCCGGATGCTGCTGATCGACTGGCGGTGCAGTCGCGCGACTTGCGCCGCCATGGCGTTCACGAGTGGGCTCATTTGCTTGTGCGCAAGGTGGCCGAAGGTCTCGTAGAGGTGCCCAATGACGTCAGCGGGTGAGGTGTACGACGGACACGGCGTCGGCGCTGCATCTTCTGCAAAGTGGTTCGCAGCCGCAAGCCAGCACTGGTCAGTTTGGATGCGAAGTAGCTTGAGCTGCAGCCGCGTCGTGGCCTCGGAGCCTACGAATGCGAGCTTGGCCTCGTCTCCTTGCTGCGCGTGTGGCGGCGCCTGCGTCAGCAGCAGAGCAAATTTAAGCGCTGCGACCGTGTGCTCTTGGAACGGCGGCTTGTACTTTTCTGAGAGCCATTCCGTCGTCGTCACCTGTCAAGCTGTCAGGGACGCATATATCTGATTGGGCAGAAGGTACCTTGTGCTGCAGGCTGCTGAGATGCTGCAGGATCTCGGTAAAAGACGCAAAGGGTAGCGTCAACGACTGCTCGGTCGTGTGCTGAAGCACCAGCTTCTTGATGAGACGCATGTACATCTCATCCGGATCGAGGTCGAGCGGCCCCGAGAGCGATACGAGTTGCACCTATATACACGTGAGAGAATTTCTTGTCAAAGAGAGTCGAGTACCACGGACGCCGACGACAGTTCCGGCTCAAGAACTGCCCACGGATCATGGAGCAGTTCGTGGAATGGCAGCGGCGGCTGGAACGACTCGAGAAAGCTCAGAACTTGGAGTCGGTTGGCGATTTCGTCTTGCTCGCCAAAGTTGGACTGCTGGAGGAGTTCGAGCACGAACCGCAGGCGCGCATAGTCCCGCGTCGGAAGGTTGCCGAGCACCGAAACAAGCAGTTGCAGTAGCTACAAAGAATGTGTAAATCACATCTCTACGATGGTTTTGGTGGTAGCGAACCTCGTGCTGGTGAATGTCCTCGAGGACACCGACAATGCGACTGGCGTAGTCGGTGCTGCTTGTGTCCAAGAGGAGGGCCTTGACAAAGAGAAGGCACGGGTAGCTGTCGGGAATGTTGTACTGGCGCGTAAACTCAAGGACGCAGTAGAGATCGAGCGACGTGGCTTGCAGCAGCTGCGGTACAATGGCCTGCAGCACTGTAACATCCCGCCGTTCGCTCTGGAAGGCCTGCCAAGAAAAATGAGCCAGAGACAACTCAAAGTCGAGTACCTTGTGCTCGCAGGCGATGCCGAGGAGGTTGAGGTGGTGCCACCACTTGGCGTTGCTCTCGAGCTCGTTGCACTGGTTCAAAAAGGCGATTTGCTGCCAATTACGCGCCGCGTCCGACCCAATGCGAGCCAACTACGCTGCACGTGAGAGCGTTCCGCAGGTGCATCAAGGGCACCTGCTGGAGCCGCGCAAAGTCCTTGTAGACATTCTCCCGCACAATCTGCTTCTTGAACGCCGTGTACGCCGACTGCTGCTCCATGCTCAAGAGGTATCTACCACAGGGTCAGTAACAAAATGGATAGAAAGATAAGACCCGAGAGCCAAGTCTCGATCGATGCGCGGCGCATGCATGATGACCGAGAGCATGTGATCGAGCTGGCGACCAAGCACCTAGACCGGACTGAGACGCTGGTGCAATAGAAAGGACGCACCGAGCGTGCGTCCTGCGGGACTGTCGGCATGTGGAGCAGCGCTTTGATCGCCAGCGGATGTGCCTGCGCGTCGACAAGGTGCGAGAGGAGCGGCGTCGACGCCATCACGAGCCGGTCTTCGTCGCCGTCGTGCATCCAGAGCGCCATCACGTACTGCACTGCGAGCGGGAGCACACTGGGCGCCAACACGACGGACGACCCACGGTACCACTCGTCGTACACCTACGCTTAATCATGAAAAAACGAAATAAGGTGACGTGACTACCCGCCACGACTGCAACGCTTCGAAGATTGCGTCCCGCTGCCGCGTCTGGTCGTCCGTAAAGCTGTATACGTGCTGGAGAAGCGACGCGAGCTTGAGGAGCGGCCATGCTGTGATGACGCGCGGGTTTTGCAGCACGGCCAACGTCAAGAGCTCAACCGCGAGGTTGATGTTTGGCGCGTGCTGCACCGATCGCTTGACCGCCACTAGGTGGTGCAGCAGCGCCACCGCAATGTCTTTGAGCTGCTCGGGGTGGGACCGCCGCGCGAATCGTAGCGCCTGGTCCGTGTTGCCGGCCTTGGCGGCGAGAAGCGCGAGGAAGGACCGAAATTGGTCGGGCGTGTGGCCCAAGAGCGAGCTCAGGCGCTGCGTTGTGTTCACGGCCGCGAGCGCCTCCGCAGACGCTGCGGGCGGTTGAGCGACTGCCACGATCTGCGTCACGCGCTTGCGCTTGAGCGACGGCGTCGGCTGCGTCAGCGACTTGACCCACGGCTGCAGCTGCGACTCGAGGAGCTCCGTGTGGCTGCCGTCGCGCTGGTACGTGCGCAGCGAGAGCGCAATGCCAAACTCCTTGTAGAGCGCCGCCATTTTCATGAGGTCGCGCCGAAGCGGTAGCGTAATCGTTCGCTCCAAGAGCGCGTGGGGGCCGTCTTTCGCAGCGTCGTACTGCGTGAGGACGGCCGACACGAGACCGAGCACATAGCTGAGCGTGTGTCCGAGTCCGTCCTTCTCGCAGGTGCGCTCGTGCGTCTCGAGCCGCAAGAGCCCAAACTGGACGACCTCGACGGCCGCGGACCATCGCATCGGCGTCGCGAGCGCCTGGCTCATCATGTTGAAAGCATCCGAAACTATTTTCCTACCTTGAGTGCGGCAACGAGTCGGCCTTGTCGGTCGTCCGACCACGTCGACGCGAGAACGTTCTGAGAAAATTGCACGACGATGCGGTGCTCGTGGAGGTGCCGAAAGGCGCGGGCGAGCTGCAGCGCGTCCTCGAGTGCGGAATGCCGGTCGATTTGGCCGCAAATGTACCGGCAAAAGCGCGACGCAAAGAGCGCGTCCGTGGCGAGGAACGGGCGAAGACCGTACGCGACGCACATGTCCTGGAGCTCCATGACGCGCAGCTGCGCTTGGAGCTCGACGCGGCAGAGGCTCGGCCACACGCTTGCCTCGTGCGCCAGAGCCACAATCGCGGCGTCGTACGGCGCGCGGACGGCCTGCAGAAACGACAAAGCTGCCCCCGCACGCTTTTCGACGCTCTCGATGCGCGGGATGAGCACGCGGCACCGGTGCGCTTCGGTCGTTTGCAGCAGCTACTCGACGTGTCCATTCTATGCCTACCATGTCGAAGAGCAGTACCTGGCTGCTCGTTGCCTTCTCTGCAATGTACTCGGTCAACACGTCGTCGAGGGAGACGGTGTCGCACAAGGCGAGGAGCGGCTGCACGTGGCAAGCGAGCTCCGACGCCATGAGGTCGGGCACAAGGACGCGGTCCAGCATGCTCATAGCTATGCCCGCCATGCTCGCCTACGCATCGTCGTCAAATCTCAACGTCGCAAGCGCCATCATACCATCTGGAAGGCTCGAAGCGAGAGATGAAACCCATGGACCTCGTCCTACACCGCGTTCAATCATCTCTTTCGCAACATTCGTCGCATGTACGAGGTACGCAAGCTGCTGGAGCTGCACGTCAAGTGCGCGGAGGTCGTCGTGGGGCGACTCGTGACCGTCGCCATGGCGGGGCGGGTACCGCCAAAGACGGTCTTTCGGAATGCACTGCGGCCGCAATAGCTCGGTCCACGCCCGCGCTTCGTCGACGTCGCCTTCGTCCGCCAAGGCCGTCGCGCGCTGCACGATTGCGGTCGTCAGGTCGTGAAGCGAAACGCGATATTCTTCAAACGCCGGGAGGACGTCGTCGAGGATCCATGACCGCACAGTGTGGGCCGACACGTCGCTCGGGAGGAGCTCGAGCGTGAAGGCGCGCACCAAGTCGGCGCTGACGTGGCGACGCCAGAGCACTTGAAGCCGCGACAAGGCGCCTTGTGTAAGAAGCAGTCGCAGAACGTCTTCGAGCGGCGCCGATCGGAACGAAAGCCACGCATCGAGCGTGATCGGGGCCACGTCCGGCGCGCACAACAGCTGGAACGTCGTCCACTTGTACTGGACGCTCGCAATGCGCGCGAGGAGCGCGGCGTCGGCGAGTCCGTCCTGCTCGTCGTACGCCCAGCTCTCGAGCGCGTCCAAGAGCGTGTCCATGTCTTCGCTGCGCGGAAACGTGAGCTCCAAAATGGCGCCAACCGCCTCGGGTGATGCCTGCACGTGCGTCCAGATCGCGAGCTGGAAGGCCTCTTTCGACACGCCGTGCGTCGGGGCTTGCATGTCGTCACAGAGTTGCTGGAGCAGCGAGACGCCCAAGGGTGCGAGCGACGCTTGCTGCTGAAAGACGCGGTAGGTTTCGATGACATTCTCGCTCGTCATCCCGATCAAGAGAAGGTCCGGACCGCACGGGACAAGCACGCTGTTGCGTTGACCAGGAAACGCAAACGACGTGCAGCTCGTCACGTCGCCAGTTGAGCGCCAGAGCCCTCGGTACTGCAGCGAGACGACCTGCACCGTCACGGTCACCGTATCTGTCTCGCAGGCGACGGCGAGGCTCCAATGAGAGAGCGCGTAGGCAGCGACGACGCGCTCGACGGGCATCTCGTGCAGAAAGGTCAGCGTCGTTGCGTCCCACCTACACATATCCGGTGAGCGCAGAGCAAGAAGCGACAACCAAGATACCAAGTAATACAAGAGGACGATACGGCCACGAGGAGCTGCGCGTCGTCGCTCAGGTGTAAGTGCAGAACCGGCCCGGTAGTCGACGCCGCCGTCACGCTGCCATCGCGCTGCCGGTGCATGAGCCTCCAGTATGAGAGCTATAGTACGTACGATGAACGAGTGCGAAACCTTGTTGGGGTCGCCGGGCGATGGGACGAGTCCCGACGTCCACCGGGAGACGGCGGCAAGGCCGTGGTTGGCGACAAACACCGTCGTGGACCCGGTGGGGTTGCGCGCCAGTTGCATCTACGTCCATGCTCGTCGAGAAGAAGAGTATGAACTTGCTCGTACCATAGACGAATGCTGTGCATGAGTCTGAGCGCCCACGGCAGCCATACGCAGTCGGACCTTCTGGAAGAGCGTCGGGAGGGCCGGCGGCGGGTCCATAGCGAGGTCGTTCAAGTCGACGTCCTCGACTGCGATGAGCTTTCCGCTGCGTAATAGCACGAATATGTCGAGGAGCGTCCCATCGCGCACGGCCATCTGCGCTTGCGTAATGGCGTCGTCCTTGGCGATCGGGTAGGTGAGGAGCACCGTGCACTGTTCGTCGTCGCCGACGCGGGCGAGCTGCACCGACCCGTCGAGCAACCCTCGCAGCTCAAGCTCCATGGACCCATGTACGATCGTCGAGATGCAGGTCACGGCCGCGCAGCGCTCCCATCGCGACGCGTCCAGGTCCATTTCGACGCAGCGGCTTGAACCCCCCTCGGCGCCGGCCATGGCGAGGAGCATGCGCGGGCGTCGACCTGCGTCGAGGAGGAAGCAGTGGTTCATGTGCATGGGGACGTCCCCTTCCTCGCGGAAGGCCTCCATGCGCTCGTGGCCGTACGTCGCTTCCATCGTCCGCGCCTCGGCGCTCGTCGGGTGGCGAAAAGGTATGACTTTCAGCCAATGAGCGCGCGCGGCCCATGGCGCGAACGACGCCCAATTTCAGATCGGATAAATGCACGCAACTTTAGCTGCCTCGTGCTCGTTCAACAGAGGCCAGGCCGCCATCGCGCTGAGCCATAGACCAGTAGCTGCGTCCTCGCTTGGTCGGAGCCTTACTGAGAGAAGCCTGGGATCGTATACTAATTTCAGTCGATTGTTGTTTATATATATGGTGTCACTAGCTCGTCGAGGCTTGTACAAACTCGGCAAACTCGGGCGCCTCGATGAGCGTGCCCAAGAGGCGCTCGGCTTGCTCGCGTGGCCGTGGCGACGCGAGGTTGGCGACAAGAAAGAGCTCGGGGCTCACGCTCGCTCGGTGGAGGTGCCGGCGCACCTTCTGGTACTTGGCGAGCTTCTCCATGACGCCCATGGCGCGGACCTTCTGGTCGTCGTCGCCGTTCGGGTCCGAGAGAAGGCCGACGATCGCCTTGAAGATCTCGCTGCACACGAGGTGGGACGCATGGTCGTTGGCGCTGTCGTGGCGCGCGAGCTCCTCCAAGAGCGCAGTCACGGACGCTCGTTCCTTCTCGGCGCCCTTGGCGATGAGCTGCACGAGGCCGTTGACACCGTTGCGCACAAGGACAGTCTCGGGCACGGACGGCATGAAGCTCTTGAGGAACTCGATGCCTGAACCAAAGATGGCCGACGGGTGCTTGGTGAGAAACTCCGTCACGATCGCCGTGCCCCGCCGCTTGGGCGTCTCGACCTTGATCGCGTCGATGCTCATGCTGCGCTTCTCGCTCACAGGCGAAAGCAAGTGACTGAAGAGCATTCCGCGGTACTGCGGCACGCTCGCCAGAAAGTGCAGGCACTCGAGCGTCAGCGGAATGCTGTCAGATGTCGTCGGCTCCCACAAGTTGCGCAGGAGACCGAGGAGGCGCTCGACCAACGGCGACGTCAGCGACGGGTCGTTGTAGACATACCCAAAGGCAAAGAGAATGCGCAGCGCGTTCTTGCGCTCGAGGACGACCGGGGACTTGTCCACGTGCAAGCCGACGGCACCAAGGATGTTGGGCACGCCGCTCCGCTCAGTGGCTGCAAACCGCTCAAACTGGTGGAGGACCTCGAGCGACTTGCTCGCCTCATCGAGCGCTTGGTCCCGCAGCATGTGGTGGAGGAGGGCGGGCACTCCGCCTTGGCCAATGATCGTGTCCATCGCCGCGGCATTACCAGCAGCCGCCGAGAGCTCGTCGATGGCTTTTGCGGCTTCTTGCGCCGTCCCTGAGAGCAAGCTGCGCGACCACGACTGCGCGACCTCGGCGCTAACCGGAGTGCTGACGACCGGCGGCAGCTTTCGACTCGCGGCGCGAGACAATAGCTTGGAGGACTGTGTGCGCCTGGGACTCGACGGCCCAAGAGTGTCGCTGCCGAGCGACTCGGTCACGAGAACGCTGCTGCTTTCTTCGCGGCTGGACGGACGGATCATCATGGTCGCTTTGCGTGGTCGATGATGATTCGGTTAATGCGACTGTGCTTCTCGACTGCGCACCCGACGGTTGCAACGTAGCCGTTGACCGCGTTGGCTGCTGGAATCTTGACGCGTCATTTTACCTCCCACCCCGAATGTTTGGGATTCGCGTCAAATCAAGACGCAGAATACAATGCAGGATCGTGGATTAGGTGTATGGATAGCTTAGTCTACGTCGTGGGCTTGACGTACTCGTTAAAGTCGGGTTGTTCGATGAGCTTGTTGAGGAGGTGCTCGGCCACGCTGCGGCAGCGCGACGACCCGAGGTTGGCCACGAGGTACAGCTCGGGACTAATGCTCGCGTTGTGCATGTGGCGCCGCGCGACCGGCAACCGCACGAGCTTGTCGATGGCGAGCATGATGCGGATCTTCTGGCCTTCGTCCACATGCGGGTTCTTGATGACGCCGACAAGCGCTAAGCAGAGGAGGGCGCCGCAGCGGTTGACGCTCCTTGCGTCCTTCTGGACCTCGTCGCTGGGCTCTGGGAAAAATTGCTCGAGCACCAGCGCCACGTGAGTGCGGTGGACGTCGCTGCCTTTGGCGATGAGCTGCACGAGGCCATGGACGCCGTTGCGAACGACGTCGGACGTCTCGTGGGAGCCACTCACGAGTCGCTTGAGGAACCCGAGACCTGACTCGAGCAACGAGCTCGGGCGGTGGTGTGACACGAGTTCTGTGAGCACGGAGGACGACCGGCGCTTCTGGCCGAGCTTTGGCCCTTGGTCTTCGTTCTCCGAGATGGATTGCCGCCGCTTCTCGACAACCACCGTCGAGAGCACGTGGGCGAGCGCGCCTCGGTAGGCCGGCACGTTGGCGACCATTTCCATCGTCTCGAGACTCTCAAGCACGTTCTCGGGCGTCTGTGGGCTCCAGAGGTCGCGCACGAGGTCGCTCAGGTACCCGTGGATCTGCGTCATGAGACTCGGGGACGGCGTCGCGCCCGGGGGATACGGCTGCGTGAACGCGAACGAGAGGAAGACGCGGAGCGCGTTCCGGCGCTCAAAGAGCGCGCGGCCATACGAGAGGCTGCTCGCGACACGCTCGAGCACGTTCGGCGCATTTTCTCGCTGCGTCGACGTGAAGAGATAGAAGCGGAAGAGCGTCTCGAGGGACCGCGCCGTCTCGCTGAGCGCCGTGTCTCGAACGACAAAGTGGACGAGTGCGGGCACGCAGCCGTGGGCGATGAGAAAATCGATGGCCGTCGCGTCATTCGCGCTCAAAATCGCGTGAAATTCGGCGAGCGCCGCGTGCGCCTCCTTGGCGGTACCCGAGAGCAAGTGCCGCGCCCACATCTGAACGCTCTCGATCGTGAGCACCTGCTTGGTGTGCGTACTGGAAGCGAGCGTCGTGACCGAGAGCAGCGTGCCCCGGGACGAGCCCGTTGTCGCCTCGACCATCCGCCGGGACTCTTGCTTGGACAAGGTCGAGCGTTGCGACGCCTGCTTTTGGAGGCTCTGCGGCGTGCTCGGGCGATCGAGTGAGTCCATGGCGTCGACTTTATTTGTGAGAAAGACGCTCTAAATCGAGATCCGTTAGTGGTCACCCGCCGAAAAAAGATATAGCGGTGGCACTAATATATATCGACACGCGAATATGTTGAGCATCACGGATGCGTGGTGTGACCCATCCTTCCTCGGTGGGGTCAAAGGGTATGTGAAGGGGTAGGGTATCATAGTTTTTCTTATTTACTGGCATATAAGTGTTGCGCGCTACTTTTGTCGCAGCAAAGCGTCGAGCGCGACGGCAAACATGGTCTCTTGAAACGAGCGCACGTTGCTTTTGAGGCGGCCGAGGCAGTCCTTGACGCTCGCCGCGTTCCGGCCGTTGCTCACGTGCAGCTGCTGCAAAAACTAGTGCGCAAAGCTCAACAACAGTGCAACGGATGACGAGCGCGGACCTGTGCGATCGCTTGCTGCTGCGGCGCGGCGTCTTTGGCAGCGCAAATGCGCTCGAGCGTCGCGCCCATCGCGTCGTGCGAGAGGACGTCCAAGTACGGCGACGAGTAAAACGACACGATCGAGAGGATCGCAAGACCCACGTCGCACGTGGCGGCGGCCGTCAGCGACGCGATCACGAGCAGCTGAACCTGGCCAAACACGCTGTTGAGCTGCTCGGGCTGCGACTTGGCGAGGTCTTCGAGACACGCGTGCAGCACAATGACCGTCGCCTCCGACGGCAGCCGACTCGTCTCGTGGTCCAACCCAAGCTGCTTGGCGATCGCGAGCGCGTCCCAGACGCCCCGCACCGACACGAGGTGGTACACAGCGCCGGACGCCCCTGCACACAGCGCCTTGGATGCACACCCAGGACGAGTCGCTACGTACCAGTAACAGGCAAGGTCGCAACGTCGCTCGCGCTCTCCTGCAATAGGTCCGAGAGCATTTGCACGGGCAGACTCAGAAGCACGTCTGCAAAGTTGGCCACTAGACATATCTCGTACACGATGCCGGACGCATGTGACGACGTACGCAGCTCCGGGTACCGCGCGTGCAGCTTGGCGACGTGCACCAAACCGAGACGCCGGAGATTCAAGGACGCAGACGGCGTAAACTCGCGCTCGAGCAGCGCCAAGCACGTGTCGACGTGGCACTCGACGGCTGGCGGCGCCGTCGAGAGCGTGGCAAAGTGCAGCACGGACGTGACGACCAGCAGCATTTGGGCCCGCACTTCCCACCTGTAGATATTAGTTTGAGACTTTGAAAACTTAGGAGAGGCACCGACCATGTCGATCGGAGGCTGAACGCTAGCAAGCGAGGGACGAGATCCAGCGCGAAATGCGGCGCCGAGACGAGGAACTGCGGCAGCATCGAGATGCACGCGGCGCGGAGCTTCTCGCAGGCCATGTCGAGGCCGATGCAGCAGTAGTAGTAGTACAAGTCGGCGAGCGTGTCGTCCATCTCGGTCTCGAGCCCGAGGAGGAGCGCGAGGCAGTGGATAAAGACGTCCATGTTCGGCAAGCCCTCGCGCAGCCGCTTGATCGTCTACCCAACACGTTGCGTCACGAGAAATATTGAAATGACAAACTTGAATGTGGGCAACGACTTTGGACGAGCCAAACGCGTAGATCACACGCAGAATCGCGTGGCGCTTGGTCGGAACCGAGACGAGTATCGCCGACAGCTGCGGCAGCGCATAGTCGGACAAGGCGATGGCGGCGGCCGCCGGGTCCTACGCACGACGTCGCACTCGATATATCGCGAGCTGCCACGTACACGCTTGGTGCAGAGCGCGCCGAGGGCCGTCCAAAGCTGGACACTGGCCGTAAAGACCGGATTATCGTCGCCAAAGTCCCGCAAAAAGGGCACCAAAAGACCGGCAAACTAGACAAAGACGGTAAAATCCCAAAACTCCAATGCAAACCAACCTTCCAAAAGTCTTTGGGTGAGTCCAAGAGCACGTTGGCGAGGACGCTGCCCGGGTCTACGAGGTCCCGAAACACGTCGGCGGCGTCATCGTCGCTGACGACGCCGCCGGCGCTCACGACACTCAAGAAGGCATCGAACCGGTCCTTCCGCGCGTCCATCTGCGTCAAAATCGACGTGCCCGTGAGCTTGCGCGTGATGTACTCGTTGAGGAGGTCCATGAGGCGGCGCTTTGGCGGCTTCTCGCCGAGCTCAAGGCCGTCGACGTCGGCGCCGTAGCCGTACTCGGTGTTGCTGGCATTGACCGTCATGGCTGCCGAGGCTTCGCGCGTGGCGCGCAGGTGCGCGAGGTTGAAGTTTCGGTCGTCGATGGACTTGATCTGCACTTCCTTGACGACGGCTTGCGTGATCACGGGCGATTCTTCGCCTAGCACTTTTTGCTTGCGGGGGCGCACCTGCAGATTGTGAGAATCTGGTGTTGAATCTGGTTCCGCACCAGTTTGGACTCGGTGGACGAGGGGCCGTATCGCTCCAGATCGTTGAGTCGGTCCAGCTGCAGTGTTTCTTCGTGCCGCGCGTGGACACTCCGGACCTTCTGGCCCATCTGGAGCTCGTCCGTCGTTTCTGCAAACTCGGGGCCGCGCATCTTTTCGCGAATGAGCGCCGACCCCGTCGGCTTGGCGTACGGCGGAATGTCCTCTTCGACTGGGCGCGGATGCACCTGCTGGAGCTCTCGCTTGGTCAAGCACTGGTAGAGCTTCCCGAGGTACGTGACGGCCGCGCCGTTTTCGCAGTGCATGACGGCGTCGGCGTCGGCCTTGCCGCCGACGAGCTCAAAGTCGGGGACCTTGGCCATGAAGCGCAGGAGCTGGTCCCAGTTGTCCTTCTTGACCTTGAGGCCGATGCCGTTGTCGAACGAGTGCATGCTAATGTCCTTGTCGTAGTAGCGCGAGAGGATCTCGGCGATGAGAAAACCATTTGAAAAGTCCCTACTGTACACTCAAGAGGATTCGGCGGCAGTCAGAACGCACCGTTTGATGTTCTTGAGCGAGTAGGCCAGGTCGAGGCTCTGGAGCCACCGGAGGAGCTCGCGGTTGAGCTTGTTGGCGCCCGCCGACGCCACCGCCCCGGTCGACCCCGGGCTCGTCATCGCGTCCGAGTAAAATTAGACCCGTAACCTCTTGAATAAATACTTGTAAAATTCATATATACTTTGATTGCCTTCGTCTCGGCAACAAACCACCTTGGGCAAGGGGTGGGGGTACACTGACGAACGGCAACGCATGAGCCAGACGCTGGATCTGGACACCGAGGCGAGTCGGTCATGTACGTGGGTTGCGCAGTTGGATTCGAACCGTCGACGTGAAGTTGCCCGTCGAGGTTCAACGCACACTAGTTCCTGTATCTACAGTGCTACCTGCGGTCGGTGCTGCTGGGCAGCTTGGCGCCAACTCCGTATGCAATGCAACCTCGGGATTGGCTGAAATTCAAATCCTTTCGCGTTCTCAACTGCTGATTTTTAGCAAGAAAATCTCGAGCTAGGACTTACTAGGAGACTATTAGTCGTCGCTGATGGACTATAAACAACGCACGGCAAGCGATCAATCCGCGTCTGAGCAGCAGCCATTGGTTCCAACTGCACTTCAACAATCGTTCTCCATTTCGCGCGCAGCTGCGACCGTATCCGGACATCCCGTTTCAAAATCGGTTCGTATCCGGTAGATTTACGAAGGATGATGGACGAAGTGGGCTTGACGACGGTCCGCGCCGCCTGCCCACGGACACAGTGGGTACCGGACGACGCCCGGCCCTCCTGCGTCGGTTGCGACAAGACCTTCTACCTCCTCCGCCGACGCCACCACTGCCGCGTCTGCGGCGACATTGTCTGCGGCCGCTGCCGCCGCACCGTCTACCTCCTCAACACGACAACAAACGTCGGCCACGCGTGTCCCGGCTGCGCCTCGGCGCCCGAGACGGAGCGTATGACACGCAGCATGGAGCGGCCGCCAGCTACAAATACGGTCGGGTCTACAACCTGGGGCGACCTCCAGGCGGCGGCCACCGAGTGCGCGATCTGCATCGAGCCCTACCGGGACGCGCGCGAGCTCGTCGCGCAGCTGCCGTGCGAGCACGTCTTCCACACTCGCTGCATTGACCCATGGCTGGCCGGCCACGACGCCTGTCCGCTATGTCGCCAGCACGTGTCCCTGCGTCTCGAGGTCATGCGCCAGTATCTCTCCTTCTAACTTAACCGAAACTCAAGATGAAGAAACCATTCACGCCCCATGAGGCGATTCCAGACTGATTGACGCGGGTCCAACTTGGCTCTCATTGAAGAGACGCGAGCGCGTGCTGCACCTTGGCGCGCAACGCGGCGCTGTACGTGTAGAGGTGCATGCACTCGGTGTACCGATCGGCTTGGAGCTGCGTCTTGTACTTCAAGTTGGCATCCATGCTTGCTGTCACCTCACTGTACTCGGACGTGCCGGGCCGCGTTTGGTGCAGCGAAGCCTGCAGCTGCTCTTCGTTGGCTTCACTCACCTCGTAATGCGACGCCATGACCTTGAGCTTCTTGTACGAGTTGGCGACGAGCGCCGCAATGTTGAGAAGCATCGCGGGCTCCACGCTCGCCAAGCGCAGGCGCAGCTCGCGCGACCGCGCAAAGACGCCAGCAAGTAGCTCGTCACGCGCCACCACGAGCTCGTTGACGTTCGTTTGCAGACTCTCCATGCGCGCATTGAACGCGACAACGCCGCCCGCGCTCGCCGGCGTCAGCGACTCGGAGACCTTGAGAAACTCGGCTTGGGCGTCGAGCGTTCTCTTGTTGGCCGCGTTGAAGGCCTCGAACGCGATGGTCTCGCGCACCTCGGAAACGTCAGCCGTCGGCTGTGCGTCGTAGACGACTATGAGTATGTCAGGCAGCAGCGTCGCGGTGGCGAGGACGTACGTGGGGTTGTCGTGTGCGCACGCACCTCGGCGACGCTCTCGTGGAGCTGAGCCCAGCACGGACGACAGAGCTTGGCGTCGCATGGGTTGCAGAGCACGATGGCCTGCAGCTCTTTGCAGAGCATGCATACTACACGGAGCGCGGGCTCAGCAGACCGGCGCGGCCGCCACGTCCGTACCTTCGGTTGCGTCGCTGCCCATGGTGCCGCAACTGATTTTCTGGCAGCCCAGTCCTTATTGGTTTGGTCAAAGCTACATGAATTTTAATTGGTTGAAATGCTACTTTTAGCGTCGTATGATTGGACAGCTGACAACAATTCAGATCTCGGGATCTCAAATGGCGCCAACTCACCAACTAATGGGAAGCAGCGATACCAAGCGTGTAGCGTTACCAAGCGTGCTTTTGTCGGGCGCGCCAGCGTGCTCGCCGACACCGGCGCCCTGAACTCGGATGTGCACCATTCATTGCGCCGACACGGCTGGTATCCGGACCTGTATCCGAACGGTTCTCTTTTAGTTTTAAAGTGCCCTCCGAAAGCAGCACGCCGAAAGTTCCATTTTTCCAACTGCGAGTTTCACTTTGAGTTTGCCGAAACAAAAAAGTCAAAGTGAAAGAGGAGCAAAAAAAGGAGCTTCTAATAGCTGCCAGCCCATGCCTAGGCTTTGGTAATGACAGATCGACCCCTGAAAGCTTGCCACGATTGGTTGTTGGGTAATGCTTCCATTTTAGTTTAGCAGGACTAGGGACGAGGAGTATGAATTGGACCTCACTGCATACGAGGACTCGCCTCCTTGTCGGGTTCAACCGAGGACGCACGCGACAGATGCGGCTTATCGTCGAACAAACTGTCCTCGGCGGCGGGAAAGGCCGTGCCGTAGTCGTCGTCGTCGTCCGTGTCGACCGCGGCCTCGTCGTCTCCGATGCAGATCTCGTAGGCGTCGCTGACAGCGTCCATCTCGTACGTTCGGTCCTCTGTGTAGCTGGTCGGAGCTGCTTCGTCGTTGATTTCAGCAAACGAAGCACCGCCGGCAGTTGCGCTGTTCTCGTAGTAGCCGTAGCTGCCGTACTGGGAGGCTTCGTAGCCAGCATACTGCGAGGCGTCGTACTGGGAGGCGCCGTAGCCAGCATACTGCGAAGCGTCGTACTGGGAGACGTCGTAGCCAGTGTACTGCGAGGCGTCGTACTGCGAAGCGTCGTAGGCAGCGTCATCGACAGGATGCAATGCGTCGTACGGCGCATCGTAGGGAGTAGGTTGTGTGGCGTCGTAGTCAGCTGGTTGCGAGTAGTCGTAGGCAGAGTACTGCGAGCCATCGTAGGCAGCGTATTGGGAGGCATCGTAGACCGACGTGTCGTAGGCAGCGTACTGGGAGGCTTCGTAACCCGCGTACTGGGAGGGATCGTACTGCGAGGCGTCATAGGCGGCTTCTTGGGAAGCAGGGTCGAGTGCGTACTCGGAGGCTTCGTACCCAGTGTACTGCGAGGCGTCGTACGGAGCCGCGTCAGGGGCAGCAAAGGAAGCGAAATCGTAAGCGGGGTCATGCGTAGCGTACTCGGAATAAGACATCTCATTTGCATACGCCGCAGCTTCTTCAAGCAACGGTGCAGTGATGGGTCCGTCGTTGGCGCCGATGCGAATGTCGTACTCGGTGGTGTCCTCCGCAGGTGCCAACGTCTCTGCGGCTTCGTGCTCTGTCGATGACGAGACATCGTGGTTCGCGCTAGCTTCCGGGGCGAGGGCCGAGACGTCGACATTCGTACAAGCCAGCAAAGGGTCGTCTTCTACCGCGCAGGCGTCCAGTGTCGTCGGCGTATGTGTCATCTCTGCTGCATTTTCGGTCGGACCCGAGACGCCAGGCCCCGAGGCGTTGGTTGCTTCGCTACCGCTTGTACAGTCCGCTTCCTTGGAGCTCGTCACAGCGCCGTCGTGCATTTCTGAGTGCAGAGCGAGGACGCTGCTGTGCTCTGCTGTCTCTTGCGCCGACTCGTCATCGACAGGAATTACGCTCGTTGAGTCCAGCACCACGAAACCACTTGCATCAGCATCAACCACAGCATTGGTTTGTGCGTTGGCTACTGCAACTTCGTCGGCCGTGTCGTCCGGAGACTTGCAGTATGGCTCGTCGTAGGCGAGGTACATACTGTAGATGTCTGTGCTCTCGTCCATGAGCTCGTGAAGGCGAATGTAAGACGAGGACGCGGCTCGGGGTGCGCGTGTCGACGGCGCCGCGCGACGCAGAAGCTCTGCGCAGCCGCGTTGCCCCGCCGCTGTGGCCTCGTCAAGCGCTGTGTGCCAGTCTGTGTTGTGGAGTGACGTGTCGCAGCCGAGGTTGAGCAAGTGCTGCAAAATCTTTTGGTTGCCTACAACGTCGATGTCATTCTACTCGCTTCGCACAGCCAAACACACCGGCGATCGCGGCCCAGTGCAAGGGCGTATCGCCTCTGGCGTCCCCAGCGTTCAAATTGGCCTTGCACGACCGCAGTAGACTCGCCTGTCCATATTAGTATCCAGTGGATACATCAAAGCCATACCATTTCGAGCCCATGGGAGGAGTCGGTCGCGTAGTGCATTGCGACGCGTCCAAAGTTGTCGCGGGCGTTGGGGTCTGCGCCGCCTTCAAGGAGGCACGCCGCCAGGGACGCATGTCCCGCCGCCACAGCCAGCTGCAGTGGCGTGCGCCCGTCGCCGTCGCGAACGTCGATAGACGCTGAGCTTTGGAGCACGACAGCGATCGACGCGTGGCCGAGGAGCGCGGCCATGTGCAGCGGGAACATGCCCTCGTACGACGCCGTCGTGAGCGCGGGTCGATGGGCCAAGAACTCGACTGTAACGACTTGGTTCTTGGCGCATGCTCGGTGCAGCGCGTTGTAGCCCTTGTTGTCGACCGCTCGGATCGACGCACCGGCCTCGAGCAGCCGCGCGATGCCACGTATGTCCCCTACGCGCGTCGCTAAGCTGCATGCCATTGGTGCCCGGAGGGCTACCCGCCTCGGCTGCGCGCATGAGCGGCGTCACGCCGTCGTAGTCGCGCGCGTCCACGTCCGCCGACTGCTCGAGCAGAAAGTCGACCATGGCATCCCGCGCGTCATTGTCGTCCAAGCCGCGCGCTGGCGTCAGCACGAGGTGCAGCGGCGTCTCTCCAAGCGCCTACGACACATAGTATCAATCTTTCAACCGTAACTGTGGCAGCTACGTTGCGTTCGTTGACGTCCCGCCCGTCGAGCAGGCTCTGGAGTGTATCGTCGACGCTGAGAGTGACGGCGGTGTCGAGCACGGAGCGTGCGGGTGGCTTGGTTTTTCCTTGATTGAGGACCGAGAGGCTCTGCGACCGCTGCAGCTGCGCTTGCAAATTGAAGGTCGTCGGCAGCGCGAGCACAACCGTTCGCGGCGTCTCGCGGACCACGAGGTGGTTGGTGATGTCGAGGGCCGCCAAGTCGTGGTCGCGCTTGACGGCGTAGAGTCGCCGGAGGTACGTGGACGTGCCGTTGTTGAGCTCGAGAAGCCCTCGCTTTCGATGCAACACGCACGAGACCCACGCCGACCCGCGGTAGAGCCAGAGCGCAAAGTACGTACTCGTGTCGCCGGCAAGAAGTTTGGCCGACGACCAAATCTTCTTGGCGATAAAGCGCCGCGCCGACCGCTGGAGCCGCCGCTGGCACCGGCGCCGGTACAGAATCGGTCGCAGCCATGTCTGAAGCCTTGAGGCACAAGCACACTCGAGGCGGTAGATGCATCGCACGTGATGACGCCTGAACGTCCGTTGAATGCGCTGCGCCGCTCGCCGCCGCCAGAAGCCCCGCCACGTGCGCGCGAGTACTCGCGCCGCCTGGCGCTGTCGCAACGCCGCCAGACGGCGCGTTCTCTCGGTGCGGCTTTGGTAAACGGCAGCCAGCCCCATGGTCGTCCACGAGACGACGCGGGCGCGGAGGTGCGCACGCCGGCGTCGACGATGGTACATACGCCACGCTGCTTGCAACCGCATGCGCGCCGTCGCCTGCAGAGCACTGCGCACGAGAGCGTTCGCCGTGACTTCTTGTGCGACGTGGCAGCTGCACTCAATTTGCCGCGTCAACTTGGCGACGACACGCACCGCCTCGGCTTGTACTGCCATCGTGTCGACACCCTAACAAATCAGAGGTTCGAGCGACGCTAAGGACGTGGATAACCTGCGAGAGCGACCGAGTGACAAACGATACGGCGGGGGGTCGTACGAGGCACCGACGTCGATGACGGCGCCAGGCTTCGCTAATGCTCGATGCCGCCCGCCACCGCCGCTGCGACGTCGCAAAGCGACAGACAGCCGCCGATACAACGCTCGCAGCTTTATGACGCGAGGCGACCAGCCGGAGAGCGTCCATCGTACAGTGGTGCACGAGATGGGCGACCACTCGCCGCAAGTGTCGAATGTTGCGCCAGTAGCGGTACCACTTTTGGAGTCGGCGCGCGTGTTTGCCAAAGACGCAGGCGCACGCAGCCTTGACACTCACCGAGGCGGTTCGGTGTACGCTATACGTAATGACCGTCCTGCGCTCAAGCTCGACGAGCGACGCGATCGCACGCGTGGCGACGCTGGTGGCCGTGGCGGCCGTGAGGCGTCGCCACTGCAGAAGTGTCGACGCGCGTGAAAAGCTCGTTTGAAGCAGACGATGGGTGAGTGCGGCGGTCGTGCGCTTGGTGTACGACTGGACGACGCCGACATGAACGCTTTGGTCGGTCAACGCCAACGCCACGTCGCGTACAGTGCGCAAGAAAATAGCAGAGGGCGGTGCTACCGGTACTGACAGCGCTGGCTCGACGACCGGCGCGGTAGCTTGGAGCCCGCGCACGGTCGTCTCGACCAAAGACGTCACGAACGTTCTTGCAACGTGGCGCTGAGCGGCAGCTCGCATTTCGTCGGTGGCGGTCGCGATGCGTTGCACGGATGTCGACACAGCACGCGTCACGAGGGCCGTCGCCAGCATGCAGCGGGTGGCCGCGCAGACACTGTCTTGCGCCATTTGAGACGCCACCGCCAAAAGGCAACGCCGCTGGGCTATGGCCACCACAGACACTGATAGAGTCGAGTCAACCAGGGTCTTGGCAGTTGCATGCTGGGCCGCGATGCGACCTTGGAGCTCGGCCAGAAGGCAAGTCACGTGCGCGCGGATGCGTTCGCTTGCTGCTGTCGCGTCTTCGCGGCCCATTTGCCGGCGCTCCGATTGTTGCAGCGACGCCGCCTCTGCCAACGCGTAGTGACGCATCGCCAACAGCCGCGCTGCGTCTTCGACGATGTCGTCCAGGCACCGTGTTGTCTCGTGGAACGTCTCGACGTCCGCCGTCAAGGCTTCGAGGCAGCGCGTCACCTCTTGCTGCACTTCCACAGAGTGAACCGCGGCCTCAAGACACGAAGCGACCTCTCGCCGCGTTAATTCAGCTGCCAAAACGAAGCCCACGGCAGAGTCCAGCACCTCGTGCGAGCAGCGGCGACTCAGCGTCTGCGTGTCCTCGATCTGAGCAACTATCGACCGGACGACGGCCCGGCATTGCGATCTGCGAGCGTCGGTCCTTAAATATTGGTTGCGAGACAAGCAGCGCTGGAGGACGATCGCAGCCGCGTTTTGAAACCAGTCGTCGACGTGCGCCACAAGACGCTGGAGCACCAACGAACAAGCGCGCTCTTGTTGCCTCGTACGAACACAGCGCTGCAAAACGCGAGCCGCACACTGCCGGCGCAACGCCACCACATGGCGTTCGGTGGCAGCAGCCAACTTCCGCCACCGCTGTCGACACCAGCGTTGAAGGCACAGCACCGCAACGTCGGTAGCATGAGACAAAGTCTGCTCGACGATCGAGCGCAACACGTCGGTGCACGCTGCGGTCGTTTCCCGCCACCGACGAAGTCGACGCTGCAGAATCAACACACTGCGCTGCAGTCGCTGGTAGCGAGATCGGGCGGCTTGCTGCCGCCACAGCGTCTGCAGACGGACGGCGGCTACGTGCTGCTCCACGGCTTGGACTAGCATGTTAAGCGCCGCCTCGCACGTCGTCAGCTGCAAAACCTCGTTGCACGCTGCGGTCGTTTCCCGCCACCGACGAAGTCGACGCTGCAGAATCAACACACTGCGCTGCAGTCGCTGGTAGCGAGATCGAGCGGCTTGTTGCCGCCAAAGCGTCTGCAGACGGACGGCGGCCGCATGGCGCTCCACAGCATGAACTAGCATGTCAAGCGCCGCCTCACACGTGGTCCGCTGCAACGTGACCTCGCGCGCCGTGCGCAAGAACCGCGAGAGGCAATGGGCGACCAGGCGTCGTCGATGACGCCGCACGACGCGATATAGCTGGCGCGCGCAGTAGCCCCGGTACACCGTTTGAACACGCGTGGCCGCTGCATTCGCGCACGTGGCTTCGACCATTGTCGCAAGCACTCGTCTACATATCGTCCGGACAGAGAACAAGCGCAGTGACCGCTGGAGGGTTCGAGCGGCTGCATGCCGCCGCGTCCGCGCGGCCTCGGCGCGGCGCCGTCGAATGCAGTTTTGCCAGACGACTTGCACTTGCGCGGCGGCCGCGTCACGACGCTCAATCAGCAGCAGCAGCGCGCACAAGACATAGCTGCAGGCGCGTCGACGTGCTTGATTTCCTCTAAGCCAGCGCTGGATCCGTCGTGCAGCAGCGATGCACCGACACCGCCGTCGTCGGTCGCAGCGACGCGTCACCCGACGACGTCGCCACAGCAGCTGGAACCCGCGTGCCGCTCGTTCTTTGGCTTGTTGTCGAGACGAGTGCGCGCACCACAGACGCTGGAGGACGCTGACGCACCGACGTCGACGCTGCCACCACACATGGCGCTGGAGACTCCGCTGCAGTGTCCGCGCTGCCCACGCCCGCCGACGTTGATCGTATCGGCGGTACGCGCGCTGCATACGCGCAGCGGCCGCGTTTTGCTGACAAACAAAAACCGAATGACGTCGCCACGACTGTTGTACGACCACCGCACTTCGCTGGCGTCGCGCGGCCCAGTCGCGGTGACGCCGGAACGTTCGTTGAATGCGCGAGCTAGCCAATGTGCGACGGCGTCGCGCTGCGGCACCGCGACGCCGGCACCGATATGCCCGCCACGCTCGTTGCAGTCGTCGGGCGGCCATGTCGCGACGGCTTTGCACAAGTTTTTGAACGTCCCTTCGGGCACGCGTCCCTCGCCAGAGTGCGGTTATGGTGGTCGCTGCAGCCTCTCTCTGTTCTCGTGCGAGCTCGCAGTAGTGATGCCAGCGTGTCATCGTGATCGTTTGCGAATTGCGCTCGCAACGTCGCCAGAGCCGTCGCCGTCGCTTGAGAAAACACACGGCGCGTCGCCAGAGGAGAAAGAAGCGCCGTCGCTGGCAGCGAGCCCGCAGCGGTCGCCCACGACTGAGTCGGCGCCACGCTTGGAAAAGCCGGCGCACGCGGCGCATCCGATGCATGGCTGCTATGGTCCCTTTGGCACGCTCTCGCGTTCGCCACGCGTGCCAGGCTCGAAAACACCGCTGCGTCAGTGCACTCTCGTAGATTTGGACGGCGTCGTCTGCGCTCCACGCACCCGGCGACTCGAGACTCGGTGGGTCACGAGGCTTGACGACGGTGTGCGGCTCGTTTACGTGGCGAGCGACGTGCGGCTCGATGACGGGGTCGTGCTCGGGTGCCAACGTCCACATGTTGGAATGCGCGCCAAAGTGCGATTTGAGGTCGGCTTGCATTGCGTCGCATAGCGACGCCACGGTGCCAAAGGTCGCGCCGTCGTCCTCGTCGGCACTTTGCAGCTCTTCACCGTCGCTCACAGCGTCGTCGTACGTCATATCTGGCTCACGTCGACCGTCGTCGTCGTCTTCGTCGTCGTCGCATGGCTCGGCCGCAACAAACTCAGGTTTCGGTCCAAGTTTCATACTTGGTTGCGCGCGGGCGGTGTCGAGCACGTCATCGTCTATGGATGTTGGCGGTGCCGCAGCCATCGCTGTCGAGAGCACAACGAGCGCATCGAGGAGCCGGTTCTCGTCGACCTCGTTGGTCGCTCGCAGGCGCTGCAGAAGCGCGTCGCGGTCGCGCGGCCGTCGAAAGACCACGTACGCTGCGAGCTCTGGTTGCGTGAGCGGGACAGCACACAGCAGGGGGTTGCACAGGAGGCTCTCGACGCCCAGCGCTTGCAGCAAGACAGGCGCGCCCTGCAGAAAGTTGGTGTCCGTGGCCATCTACAGCCAAGTCGGAAACAAAGCGCCGCTCGATCGCGTACCTTGGTCAGGTACGGCGCGATTGACGGGCTGTGGTGCGCCACAATGTTCATTGTGTGTTGTCGAAGCCGCTGGCAGAGCTGGACGAGCTGAATGAGTCGCGTCGGTGACGTGGCGAGGTGCGGGCGCGCGCAGAGTTTGGCCATACTCGCCAGAATGCCTTCGCGCACGACGACCTACGACGTCGCATTGGAGCTAAGGGCGCCCGTGTGAGCCGTACCTGGGCATCGAGAACCTCGGCGGGTCGTTGCTGGTGTTGCACCTCTTCTACGTGATGGGGCGGTGATGGCGCCAGCGGTTGCAACTGCCGTGGGCTCTTCGCCATTGCCGGCGCTGTCTTCGCCCGCTCATCTAGCACCGCGCGAACGCCGCGGTGCGACGACTGGGGGCGCGGGCGCTTCTTGGAGGCCGCCTTGTACGGTGACGCCGACGTCGTCGACGACCGCGGCTTGGCCGCCGCCGCCAACTAGGACGCATGAGCCAGTGGCAAAGGATCGAGACAGACATTGGCCTGTGGCCGCTCGCGCACTTCAAAGTGGCCATCATAGCTCACGACCTCGTAGAGCGGGACTAGACAAAGCTGTCGTCAGCGCCGTGATACGTCGGACAGGCCGAGGGCAACCCTGGGGGCGGAAGTAGCGGTGGCGGCTCCGCGGCGCAATGACTTCGACTTGCGCTTCGTACTCGTCGTCGTCGCCGGCCTACGCACAGCATAAGCAGTCGCCACCACCGCCATGCGACCTTCATGCCCCTGGTCTGCAACGGGTCTGCCAATGAAACCGGTAGATCCTGTGGCAATACATATACCAAAACGTATGCATTGCAAGAGGTTTCGGAACTGTACTTCCTACTGTAGCATGGTCCTTTCGGTGTTGGTCACTGCCCAGCAAACCAAAGTACTTCAGCGACCTCGATGAGTGAAACACCCCGCATCCTCGCGTTTGGCACAAACCAGGTCCGCTGCCGAGCCATGTTGCCCTTGTCCGGTTGATTGAGCAAACGGCGCCGCTGAGTCTGCAGTGCCCCTATCACTGCACATCCTGATTTTAGCTTGGAATTGACTTCATTTCCCCTCTTCGCCCATCGTCGTCGACTGGATACCGCGGGGATGAGTCATTCAGCCGAATGACTCATGCGCCAGCGCATGTCGCAGACGGCGATCGAAGTACGCAAATAGTGTGAGGCTACTCGCCACTGACTGGCAACTCTGCTGGCGCCAACATCGCCACGACAGCGCCTCTACGATCAGTCGCAGGCTCGGATTACTCGAGCCCCCACCGTTCGTCGAAGTGCGTGGGACATGCTCCACCAGCTGAGGAAGGCCTTCGAAGTCGCTCGCCGGCTGTCGCTGCCGATCCATTTCGACCGCGTCGTCAGTTGGGTCTGACCAAGGGAATAACTAATTCCCTTGGGTCTGGCGATGGAATGGGACCCCGTCTTGCGACGAAGTCGATTTTCCTCATCGTCCGAAACTTCGTTGCGTTGGCTTTTTTGGCGCCGCTGGACACTCCGGATAATGATATCCGGCGATTCGAATGACTCATCGCCTAAATAAGAACTCACTTTGCCTTTTTGCTCGTGTTGCGTCAAAGCTACCTCCACACCGCCGCCAGCCTCGTCCGCGCCATTTTATGTCCGCGAAGAAGACTTGGACATTCAACAAGAAGTACCCCAACATCACCGCAGCCCACTAAGTCCATCTCGATCCCAACTACACGACAACTGAATGACTACACCGCACATGACTTCCATCAACACCACGCCAGCCAAGAAGGCCGGCTTCGACTACCGCGTCCCGACGAGCTCGTACACGGATGCGTACGCCACCAACCTCCCGGTGCGCCGCGTCCAGGCGCTCGTCGTCGGCTGCGGTGTCGCCGGCAGTGCGACGGCGCTCCGCCTCGCGTCCGAAGGCGTCCGCGTCACGATGCTCGGCGCTGCCATCGACCCGGCAAACTGCAACAGCTACTGGGCCCAGGGCGGCATCATCTACAAGTCCACCGACGACTCGCCCGAGCTCCTCTCGTCCGACATCCACCGCGCCGGTGCCGGCGTGTGCCATGACCCGGCCGTGCGCAAGGTCGCAACCGAGGGTCCGCGCTGCGTCGAGGACCTGCTCCTGGACGTGTCCAAGGTGCCGTTCGAGCGCGACAGCAACGGCAACCTGGCGCTGACGCTCGAGGCGTCGCACAACCGCGCCCGCATCCTCTTCAAGGCCGACCACACGGGCAAGGCCATCACCACCAGCATGCAGGCCGCCGTCATGGCGCACCCCAACATTGAGCTGCTCACGGGCCGCGTGGTCTTTGACCTCGCGCTCAACGACGCTGGCGACTGCGTCGGCGCCGTCCTCATCAACACGTCGACGAACGATATGGAGGTGCTGCACGCGGACATGACGCTGCTCGGCACGGGTGGTCTCGGTGACATTTACCGCAACACGTCCAACCCGGAAGGCGCGCGCGGCGAGGGCGTGGCCGTGGCGGCCCGCGCGGGCGCCAACCTCAAGAACATGCAGTACGTGCAGTTCCACCCGACGACGCTGTACATTCCTGGTGAGCGCCGCTTCCTCTTGACCGAGGCGCTGCGGGGCGAAGGCGCCAAGCTGCGCACGAAAGCCGGGCGCTTCTTTGCGACCGACTACCACCCGAGCGGCGAACTCGCGCCGCGCGATGTGGTCGCACGCATGATTCTGAGCGAGATGGACAAGACGGGTGACGACTGCATGTACCTCGACATCTCGCACCTCGACAGCGACTGGCTCAAGAGCCGGTTCCCGACCATCTATGCGCACTGCCTCGCACGCGGCATCGACCTCACGAAGGAGCCGATGCCGGTGGTGCCGGCCGCCCACTACCACTGCGGCGGCATCAAGGTCGACCTCGCCGGCCGGACGAGCGTGCCGCGGCTGTACGCGGCGGGCGAAGTAAGCTGCACGGGTATGCACGGCGCCAACCGCCTCGCGTCGACGTCGCTGCTCGAAGCGCTCGTGTGGGGCTGCGCTGTCGCGTCCGACTACTTGGCTTCGGACAAGTCGGCGTCGGTCAATACCGAGTCGGTGCGCATCCCGGCGCTGTCGGTGTCGGCGACGACGATGGCGTCGACCAAGGACGTGCAGTCGGTGCTCAGTGAGCTGCAAGCCGTCATGTGGGACCACGTCGGCGCGACGCGGACCACGGACGGGATGCGCGTCGGCGTCAAGAAGCTGCAGGCGCTCGAGGCGTCCATCGACCGCCTTTGCGGAGATGTCTGCCTCGATGCGACGCTGGTCGGCGTGCGCAACGCGGTCAAGACAGGCAAGTACATTGCCGAAGCGGCGCTCGCGGCGCCCATCTCGGTCGGCACCCACCACATTGTGAGCGACGACCCGGTCAGCGACAGCAACAG